GGACACGCTGCAGCGACTACGTCGCTCGGCTGGCCTGAGAACGCCTTGGGGTCCCCCCAGAAGAGCTGGAGGAAGTGTCGAAGGAGAGGGAAGTATGGGTGTCCCTGCTCAGACTGTTGCCCCCGCGACCTGGCCCCGGATAAGCGGTTGATGATGGATGGATGGATGAATGGAGTTTCTCATTTTTACATTTCAGAAAATGCACTGTCAGCTTTTTGTGCACTTCTGGTGGGATTGTACTGTCATACATCCCAAGAGCCTAAAAGCCATAAACTAAAAGCCAAGTAAACCATTGTGATCAAACGATATCACCCACAGAGCAGTGGCTTTTGGGAAATGGGTTAAACTCCACAAACTCAGAAGGAGAGGCAACCACAGAAGAAAAATGTACTCTAGTATGCTCCCTTAAATAAGCAATTTGGAATATAAAAAGAGCATAAAATCTCCTATAATCCTTACACAGCATTTCAGCATAAAAGGACATTATTGAATTTCCTTAATCCTTGAAAATACTACTACATCACGTGATCGTACAGTCACTCTGGGAGTACGATAGTATAGAATACAATAAAAACAGGTCAGCAGCTCATTTGTGCTGGAGGATTATTGTGTTGTGATGACTCTGACTCTCAGAGCAGCACTTCATCTAAATGTTGCACTGGGCTGCAGATGCACCTGGACCACACTGATGATCATGATGAAGACGACACAGTGGAGACTATGGAGTATTTACCTGACCATGGTCTTCAGGAACCAAGGCCTGTTAGCAATGGAGGGGACGGCCTCATCCATCAGAGGATGCCTCTTGATGAAGTTCAGCGTGTCATCGGGGAACTCGGTGGACACTTTGTATCTTTCCATGGATGCCGAACCAGCACAGGTGCCAGGTCTACAGATAGAGGAAAGTCACGAGGAGCGAGGACAAGAGATGAGAGAGAGAGAGAGAGAGAGAGAGAGAGAGGGAACAATACGATTTTCAAAACTAGGACAAACATAAAAGACAGCAAGTTTTCCATGTGAACGTCCTCAGTCCTTTCATTCTCAAAAGTTTCAAAGTCCTCAGAAGATGGGTTCTTTACTTCTAAAGGAGCTGTGAAATGATGGAATATCCACTTTGCAGAATCCTCACCTCTGAGAGCTTGTAAAATATTTTTTTTTACTTTATAGTGTTTTATATATGCACAGCACATAATCAGACCCAGGTCTGAGAAATATTAAGTTTGACCATAATATTACACCCAAAACCCATCTGTATTGTTTTTTCCATAAAAATAGGATTACATGTTAAAAAAAAGTGTAACATGACCTTTTTTTTTGTTCTCCTTGTTTCTGTGTCTCAGGTAGGGTGGGGCACCGTTACACAGGTGCCAAGGAGATATAAATGGCATTTTGTGTTCATAATACAAGACCTGGGCCTGGTTCCGTACTCACTTGCCACGCGTTTCAAATACGGGCCGCATGTATGAATATCTGGTGACTCAATATTTTTCTCTCCAGGTCTGCTGTCGTGAAAACTCTAAATTAAGTTGCAGCACTTGATTTATTATGTACGATGGTTAAAAAAAAATCTACTGCTTGTGCAACATTTTCTTCTGTTGCCATATGGAGAGCAGAACAGTAACAGACATGTTTTCAATATGAGAATCTGTGAACAGTTGGGAACTACAGTGGAACACATGGAGGAACAGTCTGGTGCAGGCCGAGACCTGAGTGGCTTTGTTACAATGCTACGTCTGTTTGCCAGAAGATAAAAGGTCTGAAGGCAGCAGAGGATGAAAATAAAATCAGTCACATCAATCACCACACAAACAGTGTGGTGTTTAATTGTTATTTGCAATCCCTGAACTGTTTGAACATAAACAAGTAATTAGATGGTAATTAAGGGAAGTGTGAGCAATCTTATGTGTTTACTCGCTCACACAGTGCACCGAAATAAAGGCACAGTGTACAGCAATCTGGCGGTGACGTGCTGCCTCCTGGGAATGCATGGGCGCACACACATAGACTGGGTACAGACAAATATCAGGGCTCAGATCTCTGTTTTCCACCTTTCTCTCTCTTTTTTTTTTAGGAGGATAGGAACAGAGCTCTGCACTAATTAGCCAGTGATAGATAGATTGATTGGGCAGGTGCATTTGTGGAATTAGACAGCCATCTGTAAAATGATGTCATGCTTCACTTGTTGATACTGAGCCCTCCTGTGACACAGTTCCCCTCCTGTGTAGGGGAAAGGTGAGGTAATGGCTCAGTGGTTTAACTGTTAAAAAGAAATAATGTCTGCATGAGTGTGTCTGTGCACACAGTGTGTAGGTGTGACATGACATAGAATACAGTCTACTGATAAAATGATTAATTCACATCTTATGCGTCGGTTGCTGTCGCCGTACCTCGGCCTTGGAACCTTCTCCTCAGGAAAAGGCGTCCAGGTGGAGTCGGGAGATTTCTGCTCCTTGAAACGTCC